GATGGGCTGAATTGCACAAAACGCATGATCGCACCGGCTAGTCTGGTGCGCGTTGCCATTTATTCGATATTATTTACTTACAATTTTTTTTATGCACCTCTACCTCTCGATATTATTTACTTACAATTTTATGACATTACTTTTGGCCATTTTATAACAGCCTTCACTTGTAAAGGGCAAGAGCAGTACCAGCAGTGAACGGTATAGGAGTTCGCAAGAACTTTGGGCGCCCAGTTAAAGTAATAGGAGACAGTGGGCATTCTTATAGGGATGCCAAAAAAATTCGGTGAAAATTGTAAGTGATGAAGAATTAAAAAAATTGGAGTGAAGGATACTTGCTGGTTTTTTCACGATCACGCGAGCAGTCGGGTTGCTGTCAGATAAACGGCGCGCAGGATACATTGTGATCACGTGAGATGAACACTGTGGACAAGCCATAGTGTTCATCTTGTCGACAATCGGTGGACTTCATGAATTACTAATAAATGGTACTTACGAGGAAGTAAATAGCCACTTAGAGACCGCCGAAGCCGGTGCTGCACGTACTTAAGTCGGCGATGGGTGTTAGCTGGACGTATGCAACTCGCAGTCGAAGAGCCTGGCATTGTTTTGCCCGGCGTTTGGAGCATCTCAATAATTTTACTAACGTGCAAAACCACATTGATAGCGTGGACGATATTGTTGAGAGATTGTCAAAATTTCTTGAAAGTGTTCTTCAGAGTTTGTCAAAATCACCCCGACAGCGATGCGAAGATTCCGCGTTTGTGATATTGCTACAGTAGAGTCGAGCATCTGCTGAGCTATGCAAACTTTTGTGTCTTGAGCTTCTGTGTTCACTTAGTATCTGTTGTTTTTTTTTTTTGTATATACATCATCTTGGATTTCCAGAGTGGTCCTTTTTCTAGTTGCTAATGGTCTCTGGTTTGCGGTGTCATATTGAAAAATCATCTAGTCCGTTTTTTTTTTTTGCTGTCTGTGAATTTTTGAAGGTGGGGTGTTTTTGTATATTCCAGGCAGTGATAAGTGGTGACGGCTTCTTGCTTGATCGATCAGCGGGCGGAATACGTGGTCGTTCACTTCGTGTCTGCAATGTGGTTGATTCTGAAATGGAGCTTTTGGCTGCCAGTGCATACAGGGATCGTGTCCGGATGGCTACAAAATTACTTCGTGATGACGGTTAGCCGGCACTGTCTGGTTGATACATCCTATTGATATTGGTACTTTGGTACCCTCAGCAGCTGATGTTTTGTTCACTTACCTGTCGACTTTGCTGGTTGGCGCTTCGTTCTGAGTCGACTGCAGCTTCTTTTCGTTCATTCATAATTGCGCTAGCACTGTTCCACACATCTAATTTATCCGGAATCTTAAGGGTCTTAGTGTGTGTGTGTGTGTGTGACAGTAGCTTAGAATTGCATTTTGGTTTGTTTTAGTGATCAATCAGTTCGCCGATCGAGCGGAAAAGGTGGTCAACAAGTTGGAGCACGAGGCAGCAGAAGGAGCGAATGCTGGGGATCGAGACTTCAAGGAAGACGTGGATGACTTCATCGAAGCGAGTGAACTGGTACATAACGCGGTGAAAGAGATACGGAACGCATTACTGATGAATCGGAATCCCGAGGACGTCGATTCCGACAATGAATATGAGGAAGGTCAGCGTGATTTCTCAGCTTTGGAACTGCAGTGAACGAGTGAAGGAATTGATGAAAGTTTCTTTCAATCGCATACCAAGAATTACAGATTGGATCGGCTTGCTTGATATTCTTTGAAACAGACTGATATTTCGTTTAATCCTTCTCATTGGCTCGATTAGATTAGGATGCGAGAGAGCGATTTAAATGCTGATGGGAGTTATTTAAGCGGCTCATGCAGCAAATAACTGATTTAACGGGATAGCAGAACGAGAGTACTAGTAGAATGGCGCAGTAGGCTGAAATAGTTTTTTCGAACAGGCGCATAGAGGGACCAAACAGACTTCGTTAATTGGCAGTATGCTTCACCGTTGGTTAAGTGGTCGGAAAGAGAGCAGCCCAGGCTGTCGTTGCCGAATACAATTAAATGCCTGTAAAATGAAGAAGCGACGCCGTTGATCCGTTGATAGTACGCATCGGGGTCGAACGTTGTGGAGGACATGACAAACAGCAAAGCAGTGAACATTTTTAAAAGCACACATCCGTTCGATAGAACTCACGACCGAACCAGTTGTCCTGATGCGTGCCACTATTTATTTAGCATTGGACGAATTGTATCTATTGTTTCTATAGCTGATGTCAAACGCTTTTGTTATAGACGCAGGCACAAACTATGCGGATTCAAAGATACAGATGTCTGATACGGAAAACGAACAGAAGATCATGCGTCACTTGCCGGAAGAGGAAAAACGCAAAATTCAGGAGCAAATTGACGTTTTCAAGGTTTCTTATTTTTCCTTCGCAGAAGCATGTACTTCTTCTGTACGTAATTTGGGTCATTGCAAGAATACTGGTGGAAACGCATTTTGCGCATTAAAAATTACAGTAGGCAGCTGAAAATATGAATTATATTCAAATTAATGACTTTCTAGTTGAATATTACGATGTTCATTTTCAATTTGAATATCAAATTAATTTTTCCAAACATTCAACGTTTGAGGGTGTAATTACTTCTTCTGCTCTTCTTCTCTCGTCTGCTGGTTGTTTTGTGATCTGTGGCACAGTTCGGTAAAAGCTCTTTTCTGGCGCCAAGCCATGCATGCTTGTAACTTTTGCAAAGAACACCATTTGTTGAGCGCAACGAAACAGATATGCAGGCTCTGCAGCTAGAGGAGGATTGCAAGCAACGATAACTGGACACATCATCGTCTGCAATAATTTGTATCGCCACGATTCCTCTTAAAGCAGTTTACAGTGTTGAAAAGCTTTTGATTTGAAATTGAATGAACTGATGTTGTCAGAAGGTTCAACATGTCTTTGCGCACCTGCATCCAGATGTATTTCTCCAGTTCTTCCAATTGCTGCTTCGCTTGGTGATCAGCCTGCTGGCAGTCTGGACACTTGCTTTATTGCTAAACAGATTATAGGCTGAACGCTTCTCAGAAACACTTGTTGGAACTCAAGCTGTTTCGACATTTGCTTACTATTTATTGA